GGAAAACGAGGATGGGGTGCATCATTTGTATCCAGGAAACCAGCTCCATTTGTCAGCAATAAATAAACATGGAAACACTGAGGCTCCCTCTCCGGGGTGCACAGCGTGTGCCAAGGTCGCGCCCAGGGCAGAGAGGGAGACAGACGGACTGCGACTCCTACTGAGGTTCTCCAGTTCACACAAAGTGGATTTACAGTAATAAATAACAGTGGTTTCAACATGGTAACAATAAACATGCAACGACAATCGTGACACTTAAATATTTCCTCCGGGAGGAGCTCACAGTACAGCAAGAACAGTAAGGGAGACCCCCCCAGACCGAAGAGTCCATTCTCCTCAGCCTGGTTCTTGTGCAGGAAGCCCATCATGGAATGCTTGTTCGGTGGCCTGGGGTGACAAGCAGGTTCTGGCCCCTCCCCAACCACGCCCTCCCCAAGCAGCTTCGCCCCAGCCTGCACAGTGGCTTCTGAGTTCTGTCTGAGCCCTGCCTCGCCCCACACGGCCCAGCCTCTGTGTCCGCACCCGCGACATCCCCCCACCCCGCCCCCCAGGCTGCCCCTGCCCTGGTCTTTCCCTCGGAAACCAGCAGCTTAACTCTCACGACAGACAGGAGACTCGCTCCTTGTGACCCTCTCTGCCCTCATTCCACAGCACAGGGACAGTTATGGGTCAGAGACAGGAAGATGGCCTGAGAGCCCCAAGATTGGCCCTTGGGTCCTTGGCACCCCTCCAGCATCCCCAAACCCAGGTGTGTTCCAAAGCTGAGGCCCTCTCAGTCCACCAAGCACAAGAGATGGACTGGCCACTCCCCGGGAGGCCTCATGGGCCCCACTTCCAAGGCACCGAGCTAAAAGGGCACCTCCCAGCAAGAGGTGGGGTCAGAGGCCTTCTGCAGGGGCCACCCAGAGCACCAATGTTCATGTCCTATGTGCTAGGTGGCCCTTCTCCAGGTTTGCGACAACCTTGGAAAGAGGCTCAAAGAGCCCTTGCTGAAGTTTTAAAACACGACTCCTGGTCAGGAGTGACCTGTGGCTGTGGGTCTCGGCAGCACTGAGGGTGTGGACGTAGTGTACCTGCAGGCTAAGGCACCTGGAAGGCCCACAGGCAGGTGAGCAGGGCAGGGCAGATGCCCATGCACCCTCACTCCCCACCCCCACCCTCTGCTCAGAGCAGAACTAGGGAGACAGGATACAGCAGAGGCTGCTGACCACAGGCAAACCTGCTGACCAGGGTGCCTGTGCTCCCACAGGTGCGAACTTCCCCTTACCCAGATCACCGTCTCCTTGCTGAGCAAGAACAGGGATATGCAATGATGCCTCCCACTCTTCTTCAGTCCCAGGCCCTGGAGTGGGGCACCCTCTCATGCACCCACTGAGTCCCACAGTATCTGTAGACGAGGCTGGGGCGTCCAGCACTGTTGGCTGGGGCGGCTTTGCGCTGCTTCAGTCCTCTCGCACTGGTTAGCAGAACCGGCTTCCCACCCGGGTCCGAAGCCTCAGGGCCAGTCAGGCGGCTTCACCTTGCCTTCCAGCTGGCTCCCTCACCGCCACAGAGGCTCAGGTGCATAAAGGCTCAGCCACGCTGCTGCTGGATGGGGCGGCCGAGGAGGCCGTGGCCTGGGCGGCCAGGTCCTGGTACGCGGAGGACTTCAGGAAGCGAGGGTAGGAGTCCTTCTCCATCAGGACCCATGTCTTCCCCTGAGCCACATCGAAGCATGTGGCCGTGGCGGCCTGCAGGTTCATCCTCGTGAGCTCCCTGGTCTCGTGGTCTATGTTCACCTGTGGGAAGGAAAGCAAGCACGCAGGTGAGTGGGGAGCCCAAGGAGCCAGCATAAAACTTGTTCCCGCTACCTATTTGTCGACTGGTGTAGATAGGGAGCCCTGGTGCCATCATGGTTACGTGTTGGGTTGCTAACCAACCAACCACAAGGTCAGCAGTTCGAAACCACCAGGTGCTCAGAGGGAGAAAGACAGAGCTTTCTACTCTGGTAAAGAGTTACAGTCTTGGAAGCTCACGGGGCCCATTCTATCCTGTCTGACAGAGTCACTCTGAGTGGAAACAACCTGATGGTAGTGAGTATGGTTGTCAATGCAGCATAAATAAACCATGACCAATCCCATCTGTCTGTGCAAACTGAAGGGCAGCCCCATGTGTGTCGCAGTGGAACTGTGCTCCACAGGGTTTTCAACGACTGAGTTGTTTTTTCCACAAGTGGATCGCCAGGCCTTTCTTCCAAGGTGCTTCTGGATGGACTGGAAACCATCTGCACCCCTCCCCCCGCCCCCAGGGGCTCCCAGAATAAACTAGTGCTCAGAAACTAGAAGCGTGATACAAGAGTAGGGCATTACTACGGTCTGGCCACACGGTGGCAGGACACTCTTTCTCAGAGGTGCCCCTGCCTTGCACAGAGAGGGCCTGAAGGGAGGGCTGACCAACAAACAAATGTCCAGTAGCCGTGGACCTGCTGCTGGCCCTGAGGTGGGTCGGCCAGGGGCCTGGGCCAGGTGATGTAAGACTCCTGTGATAACCCGGTCCCCGGTCATGTGTGTTGAGTCTGAAAAGGGCTGGATTTACGAAAGTTTATGCACAGAAGGCCCCAAACCTGCCAGCTCACCTCACCCCATCTGAACCTGTGAAGGCCACCACCCAAGGGAAGGAAGGAGCCTGGCTCTCCAAGGTTCCAACCACTTAAGTCCACTCAGTCGTCTGCCACATAAGGCCACTCTGCTGCCTATACCCCAGCCTTCCTCTCCTGATCCCCAGAGCCCGGATTTGGAGGGCCAGGGGGACATGTCAGGGCTCTGACCTCTTTGGGAGCTTCGCTGCCAATGAACTCCTCAAAGATCCTGTGAGCCCTGGCGGCCAGCTTGGCGGCAGAGCGGATCTTCTTGAACTCCTCGCAGGCCAGCCAGAATTCGAGATTCTCTTCGCTGAACTCCGTCTTCAGGAAGGCGTGGAAGGCGGCCACCCCATCTGCGGTTGTGGGGAGAGAGAGGGAGGCAGGTCAGACACGGGCGACAGGCGCGGATAAAAAAAGAAAGGCATCAACTGCCGTGATTGGCTCTATTTTTAGCCCGTCATTTTCTTCAACAAGGACCTGCCTTTGTGTTCTGAATAAAGGCAGGCTCGCTGGGCCCTTCATTATTATGACTACAACCACGGCTCTGCCCACGCGGGCAGCAGCCCTCCCCTGGCCCCAGAACACAGGCGCGCACACGTGCCACCCGCAGCCAGACACCACAGGGTCCTACTCACCCTTACTACTCAGCAGCAAGTCGAACGAATCTCTCCACCCCAGCACATCTTCTGAGAGGTTCCGGCTGGGGAAAAAAAAAAATCCAGATTTTAAAATAGGGAAAATCAATGGACAAATCAATGGATCCTGGCTAGAAGTTTGAAGGGGACTTCTATAATTCACACATGGTTTTGCTCTGAGTGATTGTGGGAGCTGACTCCTCAAACACCTGGCTGAGGTCATGGTGGCAAGGAGGGAGGTGAGGGACGGGGCATTTTCTGCAGGACAATTCAATAGCCAGAAACTGAAGTGGGGGCCCTTGGCTCCCAGTCTAAGGCTCTCCCTTCTCTGTCCAAAATAGTTTCTCTTCTCCCCTCTCGGATCTTTGCTTTAGAGACCTCGTCAAGGAAATGCAGGTCTCTCGCACTGAGTGTCTACCGAGGGTCTAATGCCACACCTGGCACAGGCGCTGCTGCTCAGCATGAGCAGAGTCTGGGCAGGGCGGGAGGGTGGTGCTGATGGCAGTAGAGAGGTTCACAGAAGCCCCCAGTAGTTTGGACCCCGTCTTGGCACTTGTTGCATATGCCCAACTCCAGGTGGGAGAGTCAGGTAAGTCGACATGCAGGTCTCACGGGCACTCCCCTTAAACCCTGGCATAGCCCACTCACTCAGCCACCAGCCAAGCAGACATGGCCCGTGAGCAGCAAATCCCACTCCTAACGCTGGGGCCGAGCTCCCCGAGGCCCTCCTCAACAGGCCTGTCTAGTTCTCTGCCTCCTATCATGGCTTCCCCTGACTCTTCTCCCACCGTGGGCTCCCCCTCCTCCACAGGGCCCTCGGCTTACCTCTCTTTGCTGTGTTTGGTGCTCCACTCCAACTTGCCGAGGCTCCCGGTGTCAGAGCCCAGCTCAGCTTTGTGAAGGAAGAGCCCCAGTCGTGTCTTGAACTCTTTGGCTCTGGAAGACAGAACACACGCCGGTCAGGATTCTCTGTGTACTCAGCCCATGGGCAGACGCTTCCAGGAGAGTCTGAGCTGGAGCCACCCTAACTACAGCCTTGGGGAAGCCAAGAACACGGGGCAGTCCCAGGCCTAAACTTGGCTCCCTCACCTGCGTCACCAACTCAGAAAGAGGGACAGCCACCTCGGAGGGGCCCTCAGGGACCTCATCCTTCTCCTGCTGTCCAGCATTGCAGACAGTGGCTTTCCCCCACTGGAGTCCCTGCTTGCTCTCCAATGCCCAGCCCCTCTGGGCTTCTCAGTGTTTCTGGGACTGTGGGGAGTCTGATTCCTGTCCTTCATCTTTGACTTTCTTCCCCGGACACAAGCCCCACTGTGCGCTGGGGGCTGCCGAGCACCACCACCCTGGAAGTGGCCCTGGGACTAGAGAAGTCTCTCCTGGGCTGTTGAAGAGGGAGCCTGAGACCCTGGGTTCAAGGCTATGCTATTTGACAGTCGAACCCGCCCAGCGGCTCCTGGGGAGAAAGAAGTGGCAGTCTGCTATAACAACCTTGGAAACTTTAGGGGATTGATCATTCTACTTCTACAGGGTCTCGGCAATAGGTCTGGGGGCTTCTCGGGGGCAGAGGCTGTGCATTAGAGTGAACTCCAATTCCTAAGAAGTTGGGCAAACTCCATTCTGTCTGCCAACATGGACCCCCTACCCCCCCACCCCACAGCCAGGTCTTCGGCAGGTCACCCTGGAAGGGCTGCTGTTTGTCTCAACAAGCACTGGCCTTGCCGCCCGGCTTCTCCCTTTGCCTCTAAGGGAAGCACCTGCACATCAAGTGAACCTCTCCCTCTAGCGCCCCAGCTTCAGATCCCTGAGGGGCTGGAAGGGCTTCGGACTTTTCCCTCTGGCCGAAGCCTAGCTCCACCAGGCAAGCCCCACTTACCTCTCGAGGCAGGTGGTGGGAAAGGCGGACAGGGTCCGGCACATGGCTGCGGGCGCCAGGCAGCACGTCTCGGAGAGAATGGCAGGCACTGCGAGGAGCTCTGGCGAACGGAGAT